TTTTACAAACACTACAAAACAGTTTCATAAACATTTCGGCAGTTACTTTTAAAAAGTAGTTTCGTAAAGATTCTTATAAAACAATTGGAATACAATTTTATAAGTTTTTTAGTAAATCCAAGTGAACTTTATAAAATATAATGCAGCAGGAAATGATAACTATATAATAGAAAAAGTTCAAAATGTTTTCTTAAGTGCGCAAGAAGTAATTCTGTATTGGAGACTAGGAAAATATAATAGTTATTCAACCAACGAAAAAACTAACAAATAAAACCGTTGAAGACATTGTTTGTACTTCAAAGATTGATATTTTAACTGCGAATGAAATTTTATTGACAATTATCTGTAAAATTTGAGCGCGCCACTCTTTTATTACTATTTTTGGAAAAAATTATTAATTATACAAAAATTCACTCTGTTGACGTACTAATTTCCTAGTCACAAATTAACTTAGTTTGTTCTAAATATTTCAATTTTGTTTGATTTTATTTACCTGTCAAACTTTTGATACTATCTTAATTTTTCAATGAACTCCAATTTTTTTTTTAAGTAAAAATTATTTCTATCTATTATTCATTCGATTCTATAAGTTCACAATATCATAAACTTTGAATTCAGACTACAAAAAATTCGAAAATTCGACAATATTTTTGACAAACTTGATATTTTCGTGAAAAAATTGGAAAATTATATTTTAACTTTCATAACTTCGAAACGCGTCTGTTTATCAAGAAATTATAAGATATTTCCTTTTGTAGAGCGTTCAATTTTATACAAGAAAATTATTTGGTCTATGTTAATATCAATATCAAGGGCTGTGGCTTTCACATGATTTTATTTTCATCATTTCAAACAATAATTTCAATATATATTCAAGAGAAAAAAAATTGTCGATTTTTTTAATCAGTCTATGCTCGCCGCAATAGCAGACGAAACGTTTGGTACTTCATGTTCCAGTCGACCACGGCCTATCAGCCTGAGTAATAATAAACATTCGCCATCCATTGGTAATCTGGATAGGATAGCA